AATAAAATATTATAAATTATCGAAGATAGTAATAATATTTATTAAAAAATTTAAGCGAGTATCAGATATGCTATGATATAATCTAGAACTGTGATCTCTTTTCTTTTCGATTGTCAAATAAAAATATTGTATCAATCTATTTCTGTCATACTATCAAATAATATAAAAATATATAAAAGTAAATCAATAAACAGAAATAAAAATAAGGAAAGGTAAATTTACATAAAACAATTAAAAATTAAACATAACTCTTGATACACTTTACAATTTCAACTTTTCGTTGTTCACAAATATTCTAAAAATTTCGAGTCGCACTTTTTAAAACGCATTATGAGAATAATTAATAAACAAAATTGTTTTAAATTCCCCCCTGTCAACTCGAATTACTATTTCAGTATAATACCTGAAGTAACAAAGAGCTATCAGAAATAAAATTGAAAGAAGATTAAATTAATAATCAATCTTCTCAATATAGAAAAAATAATTTACAAATAACTGCTTCCCATTTCCCTAACTACCCCTCGGCACTAGTATTAACTCTTTGCATTCGAGGGGCACCTCTCAGTCACCATTTAATCAGAACCTAACGATGGATGTTAATTAATAAATCATATTCACAATTATTCAACGACGCTTGGAATATCGAAATAAAATAATTCTACGTCTTAATTTGCACACGATTTCTTATTTACCGTTTTAGAAATATCGTCGACTATATGGCAGAAAATCTTCGAATTACTATTTTTTTCTACGTCTTAATTTGCACACGATTTCTTATTTACCGTTTTAGAAATATCGTCGACTTTATGGTAGAAAATCTTCGAATTACTATTTCCCTGTAACGAAAATATCGCCGAGTGCAAAGGGTTAAAAAAATCCCTGCTCATCCAGGAAGAAGCCCTTTGTCCTCCACTACCCTTGGTCTCCACTTCTTTCTCCATTAACCTCATTCCCAGTCTTAACCTCCCAAAAAGGCGCTCGACCGAAATGGTCCGCGTCGCAAAGGGCTACAGATTATGCAATTACGTCGATCGTGTCGCTGCTATCATCGCGAGTTGCCGATACAAATTTCATTAATATCTCCTGGTCCGTGGAGGCTAGGGAGAGGGCGTTCGTGTCGGTCGAGAGCGAACGTGGCGACCTCTGCGATTACGGAAAGCACTCGAGCGACCGTGGCGACCTCTGCGATCGCGGAGAGCACTTGAGCGCTCGTGAAGGCGGACAGTGGAAGGCCGCCTTAATTCTATTATCCGTCGCGTGAACAGAATGGCGAAGGCGAGCGGGTCAGGCTGATTCTACCGGCTTGATATCCGACACCTAGCTCCGTGAATCGTGAGAGCAATTTCGGTGACCTATGACGTTTCCATTCTGAAAATAGTTTCGTCGATCCGGGGTAATTGGATTGGATTATTTTATTTCAATTAGGTGATCACCGAAATAGAGATTCTGGGAGGATGGGTCGTGTTCTTGACTTGGGGTAGTGATTGTCGATCAAATGTTGGAATTGGAATTAATAGCCTTTCTTTTTCTTTTTTATTTTTAGATGATACTCTTAGGTTAGATGATACTTTTAGGTTAGATGATACTCTTAGTAATTCTGAA